GCTGCGCCGCGCTCCTCGGGGACCCGGCGGGCGGCTGGAGCCCTGCGCTCGCCTCCTGGAAGCCGCGGGTCGGCGCTCGCCCCCGAGGGCGCCGGGACCTCCGCGCTCGAACAGAAACTGCCCTTCCATTGATTCGGCCCGGTCGGGCGAGCGGCCGGTGCGTGTGTCCCGAGCGCGTGCGGAAGGCACAGGGCAGGAAGTCGGTCTTCTGCGGCGCGGGTGGCGGCACCGAGCGGGGACGGAGCCTTCCTTACTTATGTGTCTGCAGGCCTTCGCCGCCTTCGCCCGAAGACTTCAGAGAGCGTCCCGGAGCCGCGTTCCCCGCGTGTGAGGCACGGAGGGGCTGGATGTCTAACAACATGATTATCCATTAACCTCCGAACTTTTCTTTTTTTAACCCAAAGAATATCGGTGATTTTTGTCCACTGCTAGCAGAGGAAGAGACAACCCAGGGCTCTTGAAATGCAGCAAAATCCTTATTTATAAACAGGCCCGAGGTCGTGATATGCAAACCCCCCTCTACTCAGTGAATTTTCTATCCTATGGATATCAGCCTTGAGCTTTGAGATTGCAGAGCGGTCCTGTCTGCACTGGGTCCTGCAGCCTCCATCCTTTCAATGCCCAGTTTTCTCTGGGACTGCTGGCCTTCCCTGGAGATCAGAGCGGTCCTGTGTGCCATGGGCTGTATTCAGAGCATCGGGGGCAAAGCCAGAGTCTTCCGGGAAGGTATCACGGTGATTGATGTGAAAGCCTCCATCGACCCCATCCCCACCAGCATTGACGAGTCCTCCAGCGTGGTGCTCCGCTACCGGACACCCCACTTCCGCGCCTCGGCTCAGGTGGTCATGCCGCCCATCCCCAAGAGGGAGACCTGGATAGTGGGCTGGATTCAGGCGTGCAGCCACATGGAGTTCTACAACCAGTACGGCGAGCAGGGCATGTGAGTACTGCTGAGGAGCAAGCTGTGGGGGCTGCTGGCGTGGGGAGCTTGGAGGCCAGGGGGTAGGGGTTCTGGGGTGGGGAGGTTAGAGGGGGCTTGCCAGGGCCAGAGGGAAGCTTTATGCGTGTATGGAAGTGGCCCCTGAGTCCTCTGTGGCCAGGTGGCCTCCTAGAGGGTTTGCCTGTTGAATCGGATTGGGGTCATGGCCCCAGGTCCTTCCCTCCCGCTGTCCCTGGCCCTTGGGGTTCCTGTGTCCTTCCCTGCAAGATGCTGAGAAAGCAGAGGAACGTTCCACCAGGTGCCTCTTTGGCAAAGCAAGCATGCTGTCCTGGGTCACCAGAGCGCCTGGCTCAGCACCCCCGGCCCGGGCCTCCGTGAGCACACATGGCGGATACTCAGGGAAGGGGAACGGAGCCCTCAGAAGCTCTGGAGTAATTCCTACAGTGCTTTGTGTCGGCCTGAACGTGTCTCTCCTTGGGGGAATGCTTTGCTGTTCTGAAAGGTGTTTTGTTTGGGAGCTCGGCTAGTTTTAGAAACCGGGTTTGCTTCTTGGTGTAGAGTTTTCTCTCTCCGGGGCAGAAGACCCCTCTATGTAGACAGCGAGTGTCAGTGTCCAGGAGGCTCTGGTGGTGCCCTAACAGCGGAGAGGAGCCCCCTGGCTTCTTCTCTCCAGCCTCGTCTCCAGAATGTTCCCAGGATAATGTAGATCTCAGTGGGGGACACAGGGGTCTTCTTTTCTGGCATGTTCCCTGATCCCAGAGCTGGTCATCCCAGGTATGGAAAGCAGTGGTAGACAGAAGGGAGAGTGACGTAACTTGAAGGGCCACCCTGAGACAGGGCAGTAAAAATAACTGTGTCTGAGCACGAGACCCTTCTGAGAGCTAAGCATGCCCTGAGGGCAGCCCCCCACGTGGCCCCCATGCCTGGCCGCGGACAGTCTCCTGTAGCCCATATCTCAGTGTCCACGCTGTGCGGCGTCACTTCCCGGGTCTGCAAGTGAGGAACAGGGAGGAGAATCTCCCCAGGAGGAGGTGGAGCTGTTCACTACTTGAAGAACCTCCTGGGCCACCTGATCTTGGAGGGGTGGTGGGGGTGGAGGGTGGCAGGACACCGAGTCTTGTGGCCTCTCCACCGAATGACTCTGAAGTTAGAAGGGAAACAGGAGGATCATGATAAAACTTACACCGAGGGTGGAACCCCGATGGCCCCAGAGAGGTGCACGTGGGGCCTGTCTGGACACTGGTTGGCTCCCCTCTGTCAACTCAAGCCCTTTAATTCTCAAAAGCGGCTATTAATCCAGGCCGGGGGCTGACTTTCTATTCCAAGAAGGGAAACATGATTCTCAGTTATTTGGTGTGGACCTTTCCTAGGAAGCCTTAAGCCCAAAACCTTCTTGGGCTTTGCACGGCATCCGGGACAACTGGCAAGACACATAGGTTTCCCTAGGGCTTTTAGGCTAAGCCTGTTTTCTTCCCTAGACGGGTAGGGAAGCAGAGGAACTTGGAAAGATAGGGGCGCCGGGAGGAGGGAAGTTGGGGAGAATGAAAGGGGCTGAGTTCTGATGAGATGGACGTGATTTGCAGGTGGGAGGGAACGGGCCTGGCTCGGAGCCTCAGCTTGCCCATCTGTGCACAGGGCTTTGCAGAGTCTTCAAGGCCTTGTGCTCCATTCGGTGGCTCTGAGAACGTTCAGCCACTGTTGCTGGAGGCAGGCCTGAGTCAGGAGACCTGAGCTGACCTTTGTCTCTCTGTGTCAGTCCTTGGTTCCTGGTTTGAGGAACCCAGTATGCACCTAGACTGCAGTCAAGCAGACCTGGGCGGGAGTCCAGGACTGCCACTTTCCAGGGTGTCACCTTAGCCACTCTGACCCTCCGTTTCCTCATCTGCAAGTTGGGGCCAGTCATAGTCCTTGCCCCATGGCTTAGTGCAAGATTTACGGGAGACGACATTTGCCAAGCAGTCGGCACTATGCGAAGTTCATGGTAAACGCTTAATGCAGGTGGCTCTCATCTTTAACGTTGTTTCTGTGATTATTATCCTCAGACGAGGAGTGAGTGAACGTATCTGTGATGAGTTGAGAATTGTGGCTGAAACTACAGAATTCGGACAGATGTAAATTACTCCTTGTATTGAATTTTCTCCCCAGCCCAGGTCTTCCTCTTTTACACAGGGCTCACTCTTTGACTTTTAAGAATTTAAAAATGGTGTAAGCTATGAATGATTTGAGTTTTCAAGTGGTAGGAGGCTGTTCTCCTTGCTCTCCAGTTGCCTCCGTTTGTTCCTTCCCCCCTCGGGGCACCTCTTTCAGTGCGGGGCCCTCTGTGTCCCTCACATCTCATTCTCCTGCATCTACTGGGTCCCTAATCCCAGCTGGGATGGGGCCTGCCCCAGAGAAAGGGCAGAGCGAGGCTCCCTGGGGGGCAGCATGGAGTATTCATGAACGGGCTCAGGCCCTGGGGTCTGAATGCCCAACCAGTGCTGGCTCTGGGGCTTGGCCAGTCACCCCTCGGAGGTTTGCTTTTGTCATCTGTCAGTGGGGATGAGGACAGAACTCCCCATAGGCTGCCTTGAGGATGACAGGTGTAGGTGATGACTCTGTGGCTTGATGACTCTGTGGCTGAAGTGCCGAGTTGGAAGCTGCCTGTCTTATTATTAATCAACAAAATCGTATTAAGAAACTGACTTACAGAAGAGCAGGGTTCCTCCACTCTGTGGGGAGGGCACTGTATTCAGCCGGTGCCCTCTGGAAACCAGAAGGGCTCCTATAGAGAAATCCTGGACGGCTGCTCCTTCTTGAATGTAAATAGAAGCATCTAGATGTGATGGAAAAGACCCTTCCCATCTTCCCCACTCTAAACTACTCTTTTTCATGTTTTTAAGCCCCATGACATGAAAGAAAGTGAAGAGTGAGCTGGTGGGACTGACTCGAGCTGCCCAGAACTGTCTCCTGGCCTTGCCCAGATAGGGAGGGGGCTGTCCTGCGCGTGGTAGGATGTTGAGCAGCATCCCTGGTCTCCATCACCCAATGCCAGTGGCCGCCACCCTGTTGTGACAACCAAAATGTTGCCCCAGGCCCCTGCCTGCGAGGGGTGCAAAGTCACCCCTGATTGAGAACCACTGGACTGGACGCAGACAATTTGAATCGTTGAAATAAAACCCACATGCTGGGCTTTAGTGGCCTGGGGAGAGGGACAGCCAGGTGACAAGGGTTAGGTTAGGGCTTCCGTTCTTTCCAAATGGGCTTGGATTAAAAATATTAATTCCAAATCCTTAACTGAAACCCATAATACCACCCCCCAACATTACCCCAGCTTGAAATTAATCTCTAATCCAGAACTTTTTAGAACGACGTTCTGGGTTTGAAAGAGTTAAAGTGGAACAGTAATACGCCGCCTCAGTAACACCCGCCTCTTACAGACGAGAGCTAGAAAATGGGGTCTCTCCCTGCTAGCTTGAGAGGATTCTATATGGTTTTGGGCCCAACCCACATCGCCTTAAAAGCCACCCCCCCTCCAAACTGTCGGAGACACCTGCCTCCTCAGCCCCATCCCCCGCAATCCCTCAGCCGCCACCTGTCAGCTGGCACAGTCTTCTAAGTGACAAGTCACAATTTCTCGTCCGTGTGGGAGATGCTTCACGTTATCCCTGGTTTGCCCTTCTCTGGAGCCCCCAGGGGACCTGGCCCATGGCCAAGGCCAAGGCCCGTGTCTGGCTCAGGGTTCTGCCGAAGGGCAGACCTGGGGGTCAGGAGAGGAGAGCAGCTTGGGAGAGAGGGTCTCTCTGGGTGGACTGTGCCATGTCCCTGCACCCCGTCCAGCAGGGTGTGGGTCCCAGCTCCTCCGTACCCTGCTGCTGCGACCTTGGTCCAGTCCAATCTCTTAGCCTTTCTGGGCCTCACTGTTCCCATCTCTGAAATGGGAGCACAGTTCTCCCCCCCCAGGGTTGTTGTGGGGATTAAATGAGATAATGCGTGATGAGAACTTAGCACAGTGCCTCGTGCCTCCTAAGCCATCCATATGGGGTAGCTGTCCGTGTTGTAACTACCACCAGTGCATTAGTAATCACGCACTGCCCGGCAGGGGCTCAGCATAAAGACTGCTGTGTTACGGGTGTCTCTTCTCCTGGGTTGGGTTTCACGTACCCACCTACAGCACGAGAGCCTTGGGCCATGAGAGGGTCTTTCCAGCCAGAACAAGCAGTGACATCTGCTATCTCAGGATTATGTGGCTGGAGGGAAAGGGCCAGGCAGGGGTGGAGGAAGCCGCGGCCTCTGGCTGGGGGATGCTGGAGCTCTGATGATGCCGCATAGCTGCCCCGGCTCCCCGTCCACCCCCCACTCCCCGTCTCCCAGGGACCTCATGAGGTCCTCATTTTATGAGGAGGAGATGTCCGCAGAGACCTGAAGCCGCTTGCCCGAGGAGGCCTGCTCTGCTTCAGCGGGTCTGGGGAAGGGCAGGGAGGAATGGCCCTGGGGACCACGTGGCCTCTTCCTGAGCCGAGGGCCCTACCCAGAACAATTGAGGACGATGCTTCCTGTCTGCGACCGGAAGACGTCCTCCCCCATCTGCCGGGCCCTGGCGGAGGCGAGGGCGGCGTGGGTGGGAGAGGGAAGTCCTTATTTCCAGGCCTTGGGGTGGGAGGAAGTTGGGGGCGACTGCCCGGCCCAAAAAGAACTCCCCCTGGACCGGGCCCGGCCAAGCGATCACCCCAACCCTCACCTTCCGAGCGCCGGAAACCAAAGCTGGCTGCTCCCAGAGACGTGCGAGGTGGCACCGGACAGCCGGAGTGATCCGGGAAATAACAAATTCAGGAGGGAGATACTTTTTTTTGCTGATTTGATCTGTGTAAAAATGAAAAAGATCAGTAATGCCCAGTATTGGGGAGGGGGAAATGGACAGCCCCTCATGCTGTTTGTGGAGGTACGGTTTCAGCAGCTTCTGGAAGGCAAGTTTAGCTGTATCTATTACAATTTCAAAAAAACATGCCTTCACCTCCACTATT